TCAAGGCCACGTCCATCTCAGGCACCAGCACCATGACCTGCGGCCTCTGCACGAAGCCCAAACCGTTGTGCACGCCGACACACAGACGCCGCTCGGCGATCTCCAGTGCACTGCTGTCCAGCGGGCCGTCCCCCTGGGAAGAGCACAGGTCAGGCAGCAAGAGCCTGGGCGGGAGGGGAGAGGGGAAGGAGGGGAGAGCCGGGGACAACTTGAGGCCTTTGCAGGTCACAGGGTGCTTAGTGCCAGAGCCCCACCAAAGGGCAGACACGTCAGCCAGTGGGAACTGGCTGGCCGAGGGCACTTCCTAGGCAGCGTGGGGTTGTCTCACAGTGTGACCTTCTCAAGCAATGCACCCCGATGCCGTCACCAAACTCCTGCCGTTCCCAAGGCTGAGCCGCCATTCTCAAGACGCACCAAATGGGCAGCCGGGCCTCGGCGCCCCTCACAGGACTGGGTGCTCTGAGGCAGGGAGCCCCACCTCCCACCCCAAGGAGGCAGCACCTAGAGGCAGGCCGAGGTGTCCCAGCCTCCGCCTGGGCAGGACGCGGCACAGGAGACGGGCAGCAGGAAGAGGGAGCCTATTCAGCAGTAAGTCATAAACCAATAACAACGGAATCGGAATCTGCCCGGAGCGAGGGCTGGATATTAAAGTGTTTCATCTTAACAAAACCGTGCCGGCGCCGGAGCGAACGAGCCAGCACGGCCCCCGGGCTACTCCTGGCATTAAACTGGTGATCGCTGCCAACGATCCCAAATTTCACTGTCCCCTCCCCAAGCGGAACGGCCCTAAACGCAGCCGTTAATCCTCAAGTAATGAAAACAAACGGCAGGACAGCGGGTGTGTGTGGGAGCCGGAGCGACGGTGAGGACGGGAAAGCACGCGGTGAGGCGGTTTGGGGGAGGCCCTGCGAGCTCTCTGCCTCGCACAGGCCCCCTGAGCGCGAGGGGGCGGCGGAGCCACACCCGGACCCGACTCCACCTCCGGCGCAGGTGGCGTTTCTCTCAGGTGGGACCCTGTCCTCTGGAGCTGCGTTTTCAGGGACGGCCACCTGTTTCACGTGCGTGTGTGTGTGCATGTGTACACACGTGTGCAATTAATAACTGCTGACGGCTGAGACAACAGCATGGGCACCAGCGCACTGAGGCACTCTCGCTCTCAACAATAAATATTAACCCTTTTCGGTCCAACCTCGAGGCTGACTCGACAGGCCAGGCGCTAGGAGCAGGTCCAATGTCGAGCAATAAGAACATTAAAAAGTTCAACATTCAATCCGTCAATTAACTTGGACCGGACTGTTTGATTTCCAAAAATAACATTGGGCCGCAAAGGGTTAAGGCCTACTGTGTGCAGACATGGCCACTCCCATCAGGTGCAGTGCTGAACCACACGTGCCCGCCCTCCTGGGCAAGCACTGCAAGGGGACCCCGGCCAACCAGTGAACAGGCTGGAGTGGGGCTCTCAGAGGAGCCGTGGAGGGGAGGCGGGGCAGGCAGCTCTGCACCGAGACCCAAAGCCTGAGGGCTCCACAGGGATCTGGACGAGGCACGTCCCCGACAGGGAGCTGCGTGTCAGAGACCCCACTGGGCACGAGGCGTCGCCCACGGCCACGGGGCGGGAGTCGCCCACGACTACATGGTGGCGGGGAGGCACCGTCACGTCCAGGCTGCCCCACACAGGCTCCAGGTGGAGTGGGTGGTAGGGGCTCACGGGCAGGAGAACCGGCAAGCGTGGGAAGGAGGAAGAGGCTGGGCTTTCTGGCCGTCCCCTGGGAGGAGCCAAGCACCTCATGTCCGTGCTGAGCGCACGCTTATCTCCGGAGCGACCCCTGCTCGTCTGGGGACTAGCTCACTTATCAGCTGGGGGCTGGTTCCAGAGGCATCAGAGTGAATGTTCGTTAGCGTCACCATCAAAGTTACCACAACAGGCTTGGTCCCTCTCCAGCCACAAAGAGGGAAAGGAGAGGCGCAGGCCTGTGGCAGGGTGCCCACCCCCCACCGCCCGGGCGGCGTCAGGGGCCCTGCCCGCCCTGGCATCTCCCCGCTGGGACTGAGCTGCATGGCCGGAGACAGTACCTCCCGGAAGTGGTCGCTGATCAGGAGTTCCAGAAGCTCCTCCTCGAATTTCTCAAGGGAGGGGTACAGCGTGAAGAACACCTCGTCCAGGTACCACGTGACCGATTTCTGCAGGCGCGGCCTCCGGAGGGCGTCACCTGGAACAACCAGACCCCGTTCCTGGGCGGCCAGACCAACCCGCAGGCGGAGGGGACAGGCGCCCTTACCCGCGT